GGCTCTTCGTGACATTCATCTGTTCCCTCCCCCGCCTTCCCCTTTAAACATTTTCCCCTTAGATGCAGAGTCCTAACAGGTTTTCTCAATAGAATACTGCATACGGTATATGAAGCTATTAATAATTCTTCCTCAAACCACACTGTATGTGGCTGAGAAGGGGGGAATAAACTCAAGAGACTAAAAGGAGGAATTCTCAAACACATTACAGGGAGAGAGGGGGGAAATAACATTAATGCCTTCCACTCGCATGAATCCAGGCCAGGCTACAACAGCATAGTACACTTTCCTCCCACACCTCATGCCCAGCTAATACGAAAACCAATCAATTGCCAAAAAAATAATTCTTATGGTCAAGCCACTGCTCTCTTGCTGTTTCAAGAAATCTACTTGGAGCAAGGAAGGTGTGTAACCTTCAATTCTTTGCTGTTTTTGTCTTTATCCCCTCTGGAAACCCAGAGTTCAAGGTGACCTTTGCTGAGAGGTAGGTACACCTATTGTTTCTACGTGCATTCTGAATCTTCAGCCTCCCAATAATTAACGCCAGAGCTTAATGAAGTCCAGCCGCTGTCATGGCACAGGAGAAGCCCACCCTTATTTTATTTTCCAAATACATATTTGGGCTGCTCTAATTACAGCCTTTTTCTTTTTCCAGACCACCAAATCAAGATACTCTTGGCCTGGATCTCAAAACATGAGTGTTGCCAAATGAAGACAAAAAAGATCAGAAATTAAATTAAACTTTGAAGGGACAGTTTAAAATTGGCAAGAGCTGGAGAAAAAGGACTAGATTGACTTACAATGCTGGGAAACATAATGGCATCCAGCGCTACCAAGTGAAAGGGAACTTGTACCCTTTATCACTTTTGATCAGTGTTCTGATAACCTGCAATACTTGTATTGTGTCAACAGGTGCCACTATAGCGTAGCATGTGACAAGCCATTATAATTATTAGTCCCAATAAAAGACATCTGCAAATATCTGCTTCTTCCATACTACGTCAGTGGTAAAGTAGGAGGGTGACTCCAGTTCTGTGAACAGAGAAAAGCCAACCAGAGGGAGAGTTCAAAGTGAGTGAGGGGCACGGCTTCATTTTCTCACTCTTGCCACCTCTTGCAGTTCAAAGAGGGCAAGTGAAGAGGTATCTACAACGAGCAGAGAAGTAGAATGGCTCCAAGGCTCCAGGGGTCCACAGTAGACCTGCCCCCCATTTCTGTGGTGCATACCTCACAGGGTGCCTGATGATGCCAAACCACTAGCACCAGCCTCAACAGTGACTCCTACTTCTCAGGGAACTATAGTTAGGAGGCAGCGGGGAGGAAGTGGAAAAGAATAAATCTGACAAAATTCCCAGCACACTCACCATTGCAGTATTCCCAGGATTCTTTGGGGATTGGCTTTGGGAGAAGCCACAATCATTTAACTAGAACAGAACTCTCTGAACTGTACACGTACTCCTTACATGGGCTTGGGCAACTCTCTCCCCCCCCCCTCCTCTGACAGCTAAGTAGACATGATATCAAAGATCCAAAATTCCTGCAGCTGGGACCAAGGCAAGTGAAGGCTCAATTTTTAAAAACAGTCTAAACTTCCCATCCTCACCACAGGCCTAATAATCCCCCTGCCAAGAGCTATTTTTAAATTTTTAAATCAACAATAACTAAGATCTTATTTACCTATCTTCTCCTTTGGCCCTCTGACAGTTACCTGGTCCGCCTCCCAGGACTGCAGTTAAGTTAAAATGAAAGAAGGTCAATAAAGCAATTTGAGCTTTTAAAAGGGTTCTAGACACAATATCTACTTAGCATATCAAAAGGAAATACACTCTGATCTTATCTTCTTTAGTACCTATTTGTTCCTGGTCCAAATTGAGTTTCTAAACCAACAAACCGATGCTGGCTAAAATCTGGATTACTTAATCCTACCCAATTTGTCATTTTACTGTTGGTAACTTTTACACAAAGCACAAAACTTCATTGACTCTGAGTAACGGTTGGCCTCCCGTGAGAAAATGCTGGACCATACCCAGAAGGGAAAGCTACTGGCACCTCAATAGGATTTATTTTCGATTGCAGATTGATTATCTGCACAAAAGATAACAGGCCTGAGTTCTCCTTCATTTAAACTGCCTCTATAATGAAGGGCAGAGCTCAGTCCTCCCCCCCCCCCTTATTCTTTTTAGTTACTGCTGTGGATAATGATTTCTAATGTGATAAAAGGCCCTTAAAGAGGCATCATGGAAGGAAGCAGGCTAATTTACTTTCCTAGGAACCAATTTACACGTAGGAACCACATATTAATATGCATCAGGAATCCCAGCCTCCCACCAACTAGAGGTTAAACTTCAACCACTAACCAACATGGCAACAGTTATTGCAAGTCCAGTTCTACTATGGTTGGCTGCAGTAAGTGATGGGGGGAAGTACCTCCCCCCTCCCCCTGATTAGGTGTAGATATCTGTAATCTTGAAAACACATGATAGCATCAGTTCTGCCAATTCAGAAATCCTACCCTCTGTGCCCTATGCTCTGTTTCCCTGTGGTTTGAAATCTATGCAATGGCTGTGCTTGCTCACCACAATCATCCCTTTAAAGAGATGTGAGACACAAAGCAAGTCATGTTAAGGTTAAAATACTTTGGTCTAGCGGAGCCCTTATTTGAGCTTTGGATGCTAACGGTCAAATGAGACATGGCATTAATTTTTATGTGCATTTAATTTAGCATGGAAAAAAGCCCATCCATGTTAAACAGAAAAGGCATCAGCGGGGCAGTGGTGTGTGGTGTGATCATATGGTCAGGATCATAGCAGATGTGGAGGGGGAATTTAACTCTTTCACCCTCTGTTGTGATCCTGATTATAATTGCTCTTCCATAGCTACTATTTATAGCAGCTCACAACTGCAAAGAAAAATTACATTCCCCCATAACACAACTTGTAATCTCAATAATTATTGTCCCCATTGGATGATATTTGCATTTTTTTTAAAAAAAGCCATGTGGATTAAATGCAAAGGTGTATTTAACATAAATCTGGATTGGCCCTAAGTGACCTGGAGCTGCTAGATTCCTGTGTCTGCTAGATTCACACTGCCTAAGGAATGGGCTATGGGACGTGGGTGGCGCTGTGGGTAAAACCTCAGTGCCTAGTACTTGCTGATCGTAAGGTCGGCGGTTCGAATCCCCGCGGCGGGATGAGCTCCCGTCGTTCGGTCCCAGCTCCTGCCCACCTAGCAGTTTGAAAGCACCCCTAAGTGCAAGTAGATAAACAGGTACCGCTTTATAGCGGGAAGGTAAATGGCATTTCCGTGTGCTGCGCTGGTGCTGGCTCGCCAGTTGCAGCTTTGTCACACTGGCCACATGACCCGGAAGTGTCTTCGGATGCCGCTGGCTCCCGGCCTCTTGAGCGAGATGAGCGCGCAACCCTAGAGTCGGTCACGAATGGCCCGTACGGGCAGGGCCTTTTAAGGGCCTTTACCTTTTAAGGAATGGGCTACCTGTTTGTTTCCAATACAATAAAAGTTGACAGAATGTGGATTCGGAATGGCAGCTATTTCCTCTTAACAGAGGGTGAGAAATACCAACATGTGCAATAAGTCCACAAAGGGACTAGGATCAGGAATTAGAACTGTGTCGCTGGCTGACACCAGCCTGAGTCCCAGTTCATGTGATTTGTGCAAAACTGCGGCAACTCAAAAAAGCAACACTATTCCCAGCAACTTTGAGCCAGTCCTCAGTATGGAGATGTCCTGTGCCTCCACCCACAACAGTCTGATTTCTAACTGTTCAAAGGAAAATGGGTCATCTGTCACTGTGACATCAGGTTGGACAACTTTCCATGGAGAAAGTGGGGGAGATAAAGATCTGGCTTGCTGGCCACATCCAGTTCCCTGCCACTTTTTTTTAAGGGGACCAGGATGTGCAGTTGTCTAATTTCTGGACCTGCCCACCCACAGTGTCTGTCTTATCAGAATTCAGCCTCAGCTTATTGACCCTCTTCTTATTGATCACTGCATCTAGGCTTCAGTTCAGTCTCTCCTGGCTCAGATGGCAAAGCTGGGAGATATCAGCTTTGGACAATTCATGCCAAATATCCCAGTGACTACTGTCAACAGCTTCATATAGATGACAAGTAGGACCAGGGACAAGATGGAACCCTACAGCACCCCACAGCATAACAGACACTGACGCCAGGTATAGTTTCCAACTCTATTTTCTGGAAACAGCCCGGCATGTAGATGGGGAACCACCATAATGCCATAACTCCACGTTAACCCCACATTCATGCCAACTCTCTAAAAAGCTGTAACCTTTCAATTAATTATTAACCAAGGATTTCCATTTATTTGACCATCTTAAACTTTAATTTGATCAGAAATCATGTGAATTTATTCAACAGCGATTTTAATTTCTTGCTGCAGTTTAGACACTTACAGTAAGAAGCTTCCACTCATCTCTGCAAGCACGCCTAGTCTACCAGATTGAATGCATGCTCTTAAAACAAACATACATTCCTTTAGACTGGGGGAAGTGCGGTTCAGGACAGCCATGAAATAGTATGTTGACAAAGTAGAAAATTCAGAAGCATCTGTTATCCATAATGAGGCTTTAAGCAGCACAGCTTTTAAGGATTCCTTAGCTCCCCCTTTTGTTCACTTTTCGAGCCTGCACTAATCTCCTGTATGTTTTCAATTGTTTTGCACACACACTATCAGAATAATGAAATAATTTAACATTATTTAAAAAGGCTGACTACAACCATGAAAAAAAACCCCACAAACTTTTCAAAAGCTATATAAATTTCAGTTTAAAAATGTGGCTTTCTTGAAAGGTTGTTTTAAAAAAACCACTTGTCAAGAAATTGCATGAAAATCTGGGAACAGAAAGATGTCATTTGAACATAATACCTCAAACCCTAAACTCCACAGATCAGATTTATTTCTGGCCAGAAAATCTGAGAAGTTCCATTTCATTTTAAAGGCTGGGGACAAAAATCAACTATGCATGTGGCTCAATGGCAGAGCATCTGCTTTGCATGCAGGAAGTCCCAGATTCAATTCCCAGTACCTCCAGGTACAGCTTAGAAAGACTCCAAAAATCTGGACATGTGCAACTGGTCAGTGGAGACAACACTGAGCACTTACCTGGCAAGGTAGAAGGCAGCTTCATGTGAGATCTATAGTACAATAAGCCTGCAACTTCCACACATTCAGCTTTACATATGTGGCCAAAGAAAAGTTAGAAACTAAAAAGGGACAGAAAAAGTGCATGGTTCCAAGGAAAATGACTTTGGCATCCCCACCCACCATTGAAAACCGCCAATGGGCTTTGACCATACACCATTTTGGTTTAGGCGCAATCCCCGGAACGTAACCCCTGAGTAAGTTGCCGGCTGACTGTAGTTCAAAGAAAATCCTCATTTGAGAAAATGCTATGTTTCTCAAAACACCTTTAAAAAATATTATATACATATGGTGGGGACACGGGTGGTGCTGTGGGTTAAACCCCCCTTACTGTAAAATGGGGAAGGGAGGCTTCAGGAAGCTGTTTCATCCCAGGACATTGAGTTTAAGGTGACATTTGGAAATGGGTGGCACTGTGGGTTAAACCACAGAGCCTAGGACTTGCCAATCAGAAGGTCGGCGGTTCGAATCCCTGCGACGGGGTGAGCTCCCGTTGCTCAGTCCCTGCTCCTGCCAACCTAGCAGTTCAAAAGCACAAAGTGCAAGTAGATAAATAGTTACTGCTCCAGCAGGAAGGTAAACGGCGTTTCCATGCACTGCTCTGGTTCGCCAGAAGTGGCTTAGTCATGCTGGCCACATGACCTGGAAGCTGTACGCCAGGTCCCTCAGCCAATAAAGCAAGATGAGCGCCGCAACCCCAGAGTCGGCCATGACTTGACCTAATGGTCAGGGGTCCCTTTACCTTTACCTTTATACATATGGTAAAATGGAAAGCAAGCATCATGCTTGGGACGTTTGAATATATGACCCATGTGAACTCTATACTTACCTTTTTACCTTACCCTCATTTCCTGGTTAAGTTTTAGGGCAAAATTGTTCTCTATGTTCATTCTAACTGTAAGAACTAGAGATAACAAAGCTGGAAGTGTCTGGTGAATTTTATAGCTACATATCGTTTAAAAGCAAAGCTGGGCAGAAATAAATATAAAGGGAATGAAGGTAAGAGGGAAGAGTTGCCCACTGGCAAACACGGGGAGGAAAGAGTTCCCACTGGTGGGTAACGACTGTTGAAAGGGGACCCTCAGAGTCCCATGCCAAGGATCACCTCCAATGCACAGCCTGTCCTAAAAGAAGTCAGTATTAGTCCTCCCCCCCCCCTCACTGTAAAATGGGGAAAGGAGGCTTCAGGAGGCTCTCTCATCCCAGGACATTGAGTTTAAGGTGACATTCATTTGGAACTGGGTGGCACTGTGGGTTAAACCACAGAGCCTAGGACTTGCCGATCAGAAGGTCGGCGGTTCGGATCCCCACGACGGGGTGAGCTCCCATTGCTCGGTCCCTGCTCCTGCCAACCTAGCAGTTTGAAAGCACGTCAAAGTGCAAGTAGATAAATAATTACCGCTCCAGCGGGAAGGTAAACTGCATTTCTGTGCACTGCTCTGGTTCGCCAGAAGAGGCTTAGTCATGCTGGCCACATGACCCAGAAGCTGTACGCCGGCTCCCTCGGCCAATAAAGCGAGATGAGTGCCACAACCCCAGAGTCGGTCACGACTGGACCTAATGGTCAGGGGTCCCTTTACCTTTACTTCCAAGTTCAGAGCTCAATCTCTTAGCTGCTGCAATGCTAGCCCAGGCTCCCCACAAACCTGGTTCTATATATTGATTGATTTAAATACTTACAAACCACACTTCCATATAAATTATCACAGAAAAACAACAACATGGTATTACAATAAAAACGACAGACACATCAGTACGAGTTGGCTGGCAAAGAATTTCAAGTTTGAAAGGCCTGTCTGAATAATACAATTTTTCAGAACATTTCTTAAGAAAAACAAGTTGGGGTAGCTCCTGCCAAACATCTATCGGCAAGTTGCTCCATGGGGCAGAACTCTAAATGCTCAACTCCTCCTAAAGGCCAGCCAAGCTCAGGGGCATGGGAGACCCTCAAAAGTGTCCCATCAGAAGACCTCAATGATCGAGGCATACTGATGGATTTCAACTCCCAGATAGCACAGCCAGTGGTGAGGGATGATGGGAACTGTAGTCCATTAAGATTTGGAGGGCCCCATCTGGGAAAGCCTGCACCAGGTTCACATATGCCTAAGATACACATAAACGGAGGAGAGAGAGAGAGAGAGAGAGGTCTTCTGCCTTTGGTGCCTAGGAAGCGAAAACACCAGTTGACTTCTTTAAAATCTCAATAGTATTTTGTCAATATTTTTTATTACAGCAAAGCAAGTATAAATATTTTATTGTAAACCAAGGACCTAAAATAAACAGTTTAGTAAATAGATATTACATTACAAGGAGGGAAAGGGGAGGGGAAAAAAAAACATCTGTGGAAAAATGTTTGCTATGTAATTATTCTTGCTAGTTTACATTCGCTCACAACGTGCGTCTCTCTCTTTCTCTCTCTCTTGCTACACCGTCTCGCTTGTTCTAAATCTTCTTCCTTGTTGCTATTATTAAAATCTTTAAAAGGTGCCAAATCTTAAATGAGGAAAAAAAATGATTTGCTAGAAATTATTCATATCACAGTGAGCCTCTACTAAACCTGGCAGGGGTGCAATATTTTCGGCGAAATTAACATAAAATATACAACTGCAAATTATCCAGGAAATAGCTATGTTCTTTACAACACGCATTTACATTTGGGGGGAGGGGGGGAAGGAGAAAGAAGTGTTCCACTTATCTGTCTAACACAAAGCTGAAAACCGTCTTTTCCAATGCCTGTTTTAAAGGGGAAAGTAATAGATTTCCATGGGGAGCACAGCCTTTAAAGATGATATAACAAAATATGTGGTTGGCAAAAATCGACCTTGGATAATTACTGGAGACCACAATCAACAGTGGACATTCTCCAGTGCTCGGTGCTCGCAAGTCCATTTTTAGATTTGTTTTTCCTCCCAGCAGGCAAAATGCATTTCCTCTCCTAGGCCTAAGCCTTTCCTGCACATACAAGGAGACCAAAGGAAGAAGAGTAATACCATGTAAAATGCAAATCTCGTCGTAAATATTTTATAAAATTGTTGCATACATCCCAAAAGCTATAGGTCTTAATTGAGAGGAGGCTATGTTTCCAGTCAATATATGGAAATGGAAAATGCTAATTCATGTTTTTCTACTTATGAAAAACCCTAGAGGACAGCAAAACCACAAATGCACTCAACTTTAATATTATAAATATAATTTGGCTCCCTCTTTATAATCCCCAGCGTCCTGGCTTTTATCTCCCAGTGGCTGCAGAGGAAGAATTTGCACAGGCGCTTTTACATCATCTGCACAGGAAGTCAACCTTCGAGCTCTGCCAGCTTGGCAGAGGAGCAAGAGACTGAGCTGAGGAACTTTGCAAACAGGAACTGAAGCAAGATATCCCTGCACCCTTGCCTAGGAAATAAATGATGGATGACACCAAGCCCGATCAGAGCAGTGCAATGGTGATAACAGCCCTCTGCCACCAAGAATTACCAAACTTCAGCAGCAGCCGCCATTGTTGAGCTCTCCTGACCTTCAAAAGCATCGTCCCTTCTTCCAGAACACTAGAGGAAGGCACCATCTCTCAGTGATGGATCACACCCTCTGCATGCAAAAGGTCTCAAGTTGAGGGGAAGAACTCCTATTTGAAACCCTAGAGAGACACTGCAAGTCAGTGTAGGCAAGAGGTGGCTAAACTGTAGCCCTCCGGATCTTGCAGGACTACAACACCCACCATCCTTAAACACCAGACTTGTTGGCCGGGGCTGATAGGAGCCAAAGTCCAACAAGATAGTCATCCTTGGTTTAAACCAATGCCATACATATTTTACAAACTGAAAAGCACCTCAAATTTAGAAAGCCAAACTAGATGCAAGAGTAAATGCATGCCTTTTGCTAAGAACTTCAGTCACATGCCTTCCCAACAATCTCTTCTCTATCATCATTCACCTAGTATGTTCTGTTTCTCCATGCCACCAGTATACCAATAGCTGTTAGTAGCAACAGGGAGAGGAAGCACACAACATTGTGACACTGCAACACAAACTAAGTTCTATTAACCATCATGGAAGGTCAGTGAAGAGCTAGACTAGGGTGGCAATGGCACATTTACCAAAGCAGTCTTCATGAAAGAAGGAAGGGAGAAATGGAAGGGCCATTGATTTAGTTACATTCTCTCCATAGTAATAATTATTCACATAGAAAATATATTGACTGTTATAACATATACATAAGCAAATACCACAAATCCATATTAAATTAAAGGGTTGCAGCCACTGTTAGTCCAAGTCAAAATAGACCCACTGACAATAATATATGTAACTAATTTAGGTCTGTTAATTTCAATGGTTCTACTCGGAGTGTATTTTGGCTGCATGCAGCCCAAAGAGAATAATGCATGCAGTCTTTCCACTATGAATTTCCTCACAAACTGAGTACCATACATTTGTTTTTCTAGTACACCTATAATAAAAATTCATAATTACTGCCGTGTCCTAAATTCTTAAAAAACAAAAACAAAAAACTAATGCAACAAAGGAGATGAAATCCTTTTCCCCCCCTTAAAAGCTGCAGAAATTTTGGCAACATATAATAAGTTGACACCATTTCCAAATCTGTTATTTCCAGGAATCCCTTTAAATTATTCAGAAGAGGTGTCATTATCCAAGTCCTAAAATCTGAATAGCAGCATTCCCCACCGATCCCCTTGACTTTCTAAAAATATATTTTTTTCCAAAAGCATTTGACCAGCTACTGGTCTTTGGTTGCCTAGTATGATTGAAGAAGAGGCGATACAGGCCCCGGGGCATGGTGCAATGATTTCTTAGTAGGCAAAAGCAGGACCCAAGCACAATAACACTCTAAGACATGGGTAGGCAAACTAAGGCCCGGGGGCTGGATCCAGCCCAATCACCTTTAAATCCAGCCTGCAGATGGTCTGGGAATCAGTGTGATTTTACATGAGTAGAATGTGTGCCTTTATTTAAAATGCATCTCTGGGTTATTTGTGGGGCATAGGAATTCGTTCATTTTTATTTTCAAAATATAGTCTGGCCCTCCATAAGGTCTGAGGGACAGTGGACTGGGCCCCTGCTGAAAAAGTTGGCTGACCCCTGCTCTAAGAAGTATTGCTGCCTCCAACCGTGGAGGCATAGCACCACCATTGTGGCTAATAGCCTTGTAAACTTCCCATCAGTCATTGATCTGGCCATTTGCATTCCTAACAAATCAGTGTCAGCCGGAAGATTCTGTGTCTGCAGAGACCATCTTTGCAACTAGGCAGCATACTTGCCTTGTGGAGCAAGAAAGTTTGGTAGACCATGCCTGGAGATCAAGGGAAGAATCTGTATTTCCTCCAGGGTTAGGGGAGAGCAAACATGTAAAGAGGAAAAGCAGACTGCCAGATGGCAGTTTAGGGAGAGATGGGAGCTATAATCTGTTTAAGTCCATACATGTGATTAAAGTAAGAAATGGACAACAACTGCTTACATTTGTCGTGTCCCAATGGAGAATCTACATTGAATAAAACAAGAGGGTCATATGTGTTCTCATCTATTTGACTCCTCACTGTTTGCACTACAATGTATGCACTACATCATTTGTATCTTGAAAAGTACAGCAGGTGTTATAGGCGTTTGGACACTCAAATGGAAATGTCTTCTAGTTGTATTTCTTTCTAAGAGAGACTGTGACTGTGATACATCTCCCAGTATACTGTTACGTCTTTTCCCCAGTGTGATCTTTTTGTATTTTTCATCATTCTAATTGCATTTCCCATTCATGCACCTGCTAAACAAGACAAATATTTAATCATTCCATCAACTCAAAGAACCCAATCTTTTTTAATCCACTCACATGAAGAAAATTCAGATTTTCAAAGCTGTGGAGTCAAAAGACAAAACTTCTTACAGGGGTCAGAAAGCCACAGTGAGGAGCCTCCTAATCAGTGGAGAAGCAACCTGGGAGCGTGTAACCAGGGTACTTTCCTCTCTGTTTACAACAGAAGTGATGCTGTCATCTGATGAGGATGTAAACATGAGAGGGGGCATTGGACAACAAATCTGGCCTGGCACATGAGCCCTTTGTTTGATAAACTAGGCTCACAGTGACTGGAACAAGCATACCCAGTGAACTTCACAGCTGATCAGGAATGCGAACCCAGGTCCCTACAGCCAAAGTCCTACATCCTAACCAACACACCACCCTTGCCAGCACACTATTATATAAATCTTGGCTAATCCTAATCCACTGGACTCTTAATCCATTGGCTATGAGGGCTTTCATGATGAGCTCCTGCACTTCAAAATGTATCAATACACCCCTGCACCTTGTTTGTACCCAATTAAGACCCAACCTGGACATTTACCAGTTTCATTTAAGCTGCCCTTTCATCAAGGAAGATGTTTTCATCAAGAAAGTAAGCAACTAATGCAGCAATTCACAGTTTCAGAGCTTCTCTAATGTAAATTAACCAATGTCTTCTAGGAACTGTCTAATAATGTGAAAAACAGAAGACATCTTCATCCTACAACCGGGGGGGGGGGGGGGAGAGAGAGAGAGAGAGAGAGAGAGAGAGAGAGAGAGAGAGAGAGAGACTGTACAAACAATATCGACTCCACCCTGTGTCCAGGATGTTGCAGTGAGTTCTTCTGTTCGTATTACACAGTGAAAGGGAGATGAAGAATTGAAAGAAATTGAGGCTTTTCTTCTTCTTCCCAGGTGCAGATAACCATGAAAAACTGAGTGCTTGCTATAAAAGTAGCATAACTGTCTATGTTGCCTAAACTTTGGCAAGCCAAAGCACCTCCTGAGAGGGCAGTTGCTTGAAAGATTTGAGAAGTGCTCATGCTGGTATTTCTAAGCACAAGGATTTCCAGTACCAGACCCTCTCCAGGGGCAAAAGAGTCAAAGTCTCCAATACCAGTGGGAGTTTTAGAGCCACTAAATATTTTAAGTAGATGGGGTGACATGTAAGATGTTTATTTAAAACCCCTGGCTTGCACTTAAAAACCCCTTTCCCCCGACCTAGGTTACTCTGCAGGTGCAGCAAGGTTTGCCTTTTGGATGGGAGGGGGTTAAAACCAATGGTTTCCTAAGGGCTTTTGGCAGGAAAAGCTTGGCGCTCAAGTACAGAACCCCTCTTTGCGCCATTTGAGACTAATAGCTCCAAGTGGACCCTAAGTTGAAACCTGGAAAATCTGCAAGAGTTACAGGCTGTGACAAGAGATATTAATGCCTCCCACATTGACTCAATAAATCAAAACAGATTTAGAGGAACTATTAAGGCTCATGACAAGAATCCACACTTCACTTTAATAATTCCCTATTAACATATTTAACTGCTGGGCTGTATATTTTAAACATTTCTTACTTTTGGGTATATAAGTAATTAGTGGCTTTTAAAAGATGCATTAACACAGAGAGAGAGAGAGAGGGAAAAACAGATAAAAACATTCAATTGATTTTTCAATATTCTAGTAGAAATCCACATTTGTTACATAACAACTCAGCAACATGGTATGGTGCAGTTGGGTATGTTTTGCTTTGGCTCTGCAATATGAATCAAACTTAAATCTGAAGTTATAGCTGTTCCAGGATGGGGAGGTGTGTGACTATTTATTATTTAAACGAGAGAAAATGCACAAAGGTCATGGACTTGCCTTGGATCTTAACTTCTCTTCTACTAACAGAATTAAATTTAGATAATAAAAAGTGGCTCTCTCACATCCTCCCACTTCTCTTTGCACCACACACCCTGCCCCTGAGGTGGGGTTGAGGGATCATTCAGAACAGCATGGCTACAAGTGCAGGAGGCTGCAACATGAGGGGGCAGCAGAAATCATCCCCTTCTCCTTGTGCAAGTGTGGGCTTCCCATGGAAATCTGATTGGCCCCTGTGAGAACAGAATACTGGATGGGCCATTGGCCTGATCCAGTGTGGCTCTTCTTGTATTCTTAAATGCTCTCATAAAGGTACCTTGGGTCCCAGAGCAGTGTGTACTTGTGTATGTATGTGAAACATGAATGGGTTTCTCCATGCCACCTCTTTATTTCAGCCAAAGCACACAGAGAGAAAGGATGTAGGTGTAGGTTTCTGTGTGTACAACACTTTCATCATGGAAGCTTTTCATTTTAGCACCTCCCATTTCAAAACATATAAAAACAGCACACTATTCTTAAAGCTAACTGACAACACTACACAAACTAAAATGTCCTGTTAACATATATTTAAGTCTTTGTTCTTTGACCCGAATCATAAGCCCAGGCGCTACAGATGCAGAGCAACCCAGAACTGGTCATATTTGAATACATGACTAGGTCCAACCCATAGCAGCAAAAGAGTTTTAGAGTCTTAGGATCTGTACCTCTGAAATGACCTTTACAGTTTTAGGGTTCACTTTTTTATTAAAAAAATCATTTCAAGATTATGGTGGTGCTTGCTTTTGAAGGGAGAATGGTCTGGGGGCTCTTTTAAACATGAATACCATGTTACATCTCCTACCTGTAATAGCATTTTTCATATTCCTCCTCTCCAGTAATCCAGGAGCTGGAAAAGAATGCAAGGCCTCACCATTTGGGGCTGGGGCTGCACCTACAGGAGACAGGAGGCAGAGACACTCAACTCCTCCCCACAAGGCAAGGAGTTGTTCATGGGTGAATTCAAAAACAAAACCAAGAAAGGGTGCAGAAGAAGAGGCATGCGGAAGTGACTGGGTTAGGGGAGGAGGCCTATGAAAAACACCATTACTGGTTTCCTTGGGCTTTAGTCGTCATCCATTTCAGATATGGAAACACAGACCCCAGAGCCCTCGCTATGGATGGTGGTGGAGAAATGTAACTGATAAATGCAGCATGCAGTAGCCTCTTACCTTCTCATTCTGGATGTATTTTAAAGTTTCAGTCCATGATGTTTACAAGTTTATGACAGGAATTTTAAAACAAAAAACGAACTATATGTAGATATTTTCCAGGAGGATAGCTGTTTAAGTCTGTTACAGCGAGAGCAACAGAGTATTGTGGCACCTTAAAGTCTAACAAATGTATTCTAGCATAAGCCTCCGTAGACTACTAGTGTTGTGCTAGCATCTGAGAAAGTGGGTTCTAGCCTGCAAAACCTTATGCCAACATAAATGTGCTGTTTTTATATGCAGACAGCTTTTCTCCCACACTTCTGTTCAGAGCGCATTTGTCTTTGGAACCGTTTACACACTCCAGGTATAATGAATCTCTTGTTCAATGTAGAGCCTAACCATGGAGAAAGATTATGGTACAACCCTCAACAGGACTGCACCACTTCAGTACATAAGAACAACGTGCCGAGTAAAAATGGCAGTCCCATTTGAAATTAAGGAGATGGGACCCGCCACAACCACCAGCACACTCAGAGCACCTCAAAAATATAGGTCCTGCTTGATTAAGTAGGTGTGGGAGCTGCCAGAGGCCGATGTGAACTGCTTTAGCCCCCTACCGCAGGGCAAGACGACTGTCGGAGGAACAACAACAAAAGGAAAATACAAGGGTAAAACCAGGGAGATAAACTTTTTAAAACTGTGTGTGTGTCTGTGTGCGTGCGCGCGCACGCGTGCATGCACACATGCGCACACGCACACACACACACTCCTGGGAAAGAAGGAGGAGAATGTCAAGACAAAAAACCCAGGGATATCAATAAACAATATAGCAATCTCACCAGATAGCACACTCCCAACCCCAATACTATGCCACACAAAACAAGGATAAAAAGAACAAACCCACAGACTAAACTATTAAAGAAATTTGCTCCCAGAGAAGATAAAGAGCTGACCTATCTTACTGGAGGCTGGGAAGATCTGGAGGACAGGAAGAGGAGGCAAGATACCATGAAGTCCCTGCCTGTCAAGTCCAAAAGTGGGCATCATCCTACTGACAGCGCAGTCATGTAAATCAATGTGTCTGAATGCCCCTTCATGTAAAAAAAGCCTTTGGCTGTTGAAAAGCAGCAGCCCAGGGAGAAAGGTTTCTAGATTTCTACATGCAAGAGGGCTTGTTTTTGTTGTATATGTAGGGTCACATTAGAAAACATTCAATTACCCAGGCTGCTGCACTTTGAAGCGATACTGTTTCAGGAGCGCTTTCTCTAACTAGCTATGCAGGTTGCCTCTGAGAAATCTGATGACCAGTGGTGCAAACTAGCATTGATTTTCATCTACTCTTCAGAAGGCCATGACCTTTGGGCTAAACTGGCATGTTTCCCTGCCCTACAAACAACTGTTTCTTCTTTAAATCACTTTGTTCGTTAAAACAGGTTTTGAAATTACTCGAAAGAGTAAATTGGATGGCAATTCTTGCCAACTCTCGATAGCGTTAGAAAGAATGAAGCAGCCTCCATGCATCAGGTCTTTATCAACTGTTCATGACTGAAAGTGGAAGGGGGGCAAGTAAAATTGACTAAGGAGAAAATCTCCTTGATTGATCAGAAGCACTGGCCACCCTTGCCTGCAAACCGAGAGCAACATTCTACTTTAACTTGCACACAATGAGTTTGGCAGCAATAGAATAAAAAAAACGCAGTAAAGACCATCTCTAACAGGCAGCCTCGTAGCTTAAAGGACCAGTTTAAAGTCTCCCCGAGGTTTGCAGTTCAATTTCTGTTGACCTTTAATTAAAGACGATACAGCAAATTGACACCAAGAGAATTAAAACTACAATATAAATTCGGGTCTATAACTAGCATCCAAACATTTTTTGTTTGCTGCTGAGTGCTCAGCCAAGTTGCAGGCTGAAAATCCTCTTGCTTTAGTATAATGGTTGTAACAACAACATAAGAAATCTTTACTCATCCTCATCCTCAGAAAACGTCCAAATTTGGCTACGGCTGTTCTGTACCATTGACTGGGTGGGACAAGGGAAAAGGTGGAGGGGAGGACAGAGAAGATGGTCCCCAGTTATTAAGAATGGGTCTCTTGTTTGCTCAGACTCGAGAGCAAGTGTGACCCAGAGGCTTTTATAGGGGACAGGGAATATCACCTGACGGGCTCTACCCTACTGGTGCAAGGAGACTTCCTTGGTGAGTGAGACTAATCTCTCTGTGGTACCCTCACTTGACCAGAGCTAAGCAGTGATTTATTGTAGAACTCCCCACCTGACACCTCATCATTTGCCAGTTCAAGAGCAGTTGTAGACTTGTGGGCTACGGGGGCGCGGGGTACACATACAAGTCTACAGTGGTACCTCGGGTTACATACGCTTCAGGTTACATACTCTTCAGGTTACAGACTCCGCTAACCCAGAAATAGTACCTCGGGTTAAAAACTTTGCTTCAGGATGAGAACAGAAATCATGCTCTGGCGGTGTGGTGGCAGCTGGAGGCCCCATTAGCTAAAGTGGTGCTTCAGGTTAAGAACAGTTTCAGGTTAAGAATGGACCTCCAGAACGAATTAAGTACTTAACCCGAGGTACCACTGTATATGTGTGTAAGAGAGAAATGTGCCATTCTCACTCTACATTGTGGAATTCCAAACTTTCCAAACAGGGTTCTACTACATCATCTTTCTGGACACGTAGAGTAGCCATTTCTCGAGCCAGAGACTGACAACCTGCGGCCCTGCAGATGTTTCTGAAGCACAGCTCTCATAACCTCTGCTCATTGAGCATGCTGACTGGGGCTGACGGAAGCTGAGCTCCAACAACAACCGGAGGGCCAAAGATTCCCCCGCCTGCCTTACTGTAAGCAGAACTTCACAAATGAGACACAGCTGCTTTTCTCTGTGTTGAACAGAAAGTCTTGCTGGAAACCAGCAAAGGAGAAGTTGCAAGTTATTTTTCCCCTTGCAGGTTCCAGTGCAAATCCCTCATGATAAGAATCCACCTCCCTTCCCAGCTGGTGAGTTGTGGGGCTTATGAAGAAACGTATGATTTATAGTCACATAGCTTTGATAGTGATAACGAAACTTGCAGAAAGCATCTCCCTCATCCTCCCCAGCAACCCATAATTTTCATAGTAAATAGTGGAAGTAAAAAAGAATAGGTTAACACATTCTTGGTTTGTTTGTTTTTTTAAAAAAAGTAATAAGAGAAAACTCAGCAAACTTTAAGGGAAAGTCTCTGTTCTGCCATACTAGTTAGCAGATGTCGAAACACCCCACATTGATGCGGAGATATGTGCTTATGCTAACTTCAGACTCGTCACACTGAAGACTCAAACCTGATTACAGAAAAGGTGTTTCATCAGCCACTCCGCCTTCCCCCACCCCCTGCATTTATGTGCAAATATGAAACCACCAGGAAAATGTTTAAACAGGTGTAATCACAACTGCACATGAAAATTGGGTTGGAGGGCTGGAAGGAATCTTAACGTGGTTAGGAGGGAGCAGAAGCAATATGAAGCTGTGATCACGGCCGATTATGAATGTATCATGCAAAAGGAGAATGTTGTCATAGCAGCTATAAAAATGTCAGTGAAACTGAGCAGCCATTACCAAAGTAGTAAATGAAAGGGGATTGGGGGGGGGATAAAATGCAAAAAGGAAAATGTGACTGAATATATTAAGGTAAATTATGTTTCACTCCCAGAGTAGATAAAGAAGCAAAGCAAAATAATATTTGCTCTGAACAAATATGCACAGATAACAACAGGAAAAGAACGCACACAGTGTGACTGGGTGGTACAGTTAATATTTTAAACAATGAACTTTGTTCCAGAGTGGAACAATGGCAAGATGTGTACAGCTAGAAGTGAAGTCTGCATGCCTAACACCATGCGCACAGATTGCTCTGCCATACCCTCCCAACATTTCTCTGATGAAAATAGGGACGTCCCATTCCATAATGATGATTTTACTATTTATACCCCACACACTGTACTGGGTTGCCCCAGCTACTCTGGGCAACTTCCAACATACATAAAACATTAAACATTAAAAAAAACCTTCCCTATACAGAATTGCCTTCAGACGACTTGGGAGTTGGATAACTCCACACCCTCCAACATTTCTCCAATGAAAACAGGGACATCCAAAGGAAAAGTGGGACATTCCAGGATAAAATCAGAAACCAGGATGGCTTCCCTAAATCAGGGACATCCCTGGAAAATAGGGATGAAAATAGAGAGGGCAGTTGTGTCTGTCTGTCTCTTTCCATATACAGTAAATAGCTGCCTCTTTCAATTAAGTTAAGGGGCGGGGAAGGTACGGGCAACATGAGCTGTATGCACTGTAGACTTGCTCGCCCATCCCTACTGACAGCCAATCTTAACAAAAGAAAGTAAGAAGAGGTCACTGGATCAGGCCATCTAGTCCAGCATCCTGTTCTCACAGTCGCCAAACCAATGTGTCTGCAGCCCAGTCAAGAGATCCCCTGATGTCACATCCTCTTTGGTCCTTAGCCTTCAGGAAAGTGACCTTGCTAAGAATACAGAGAAAGCCAAATAGAAATTTAGCAGATCTCATTCTTCAGTATAAAGGGCATGAGAGCTGCATGGCTATAAGATTTGGGTGGTGTTTTAAAGTTGTACAAAGGATTTCCTTAGCGGCAAACCATTGTATATGCATTGTTATCACTGCCAATTAACATGTCAAACAGCTCAAGAAATATATGGTTTTCAAAATGAGAAATTTGAGTGAAATGTATTATTCGGTCAAACTTTTCCACTGATGATTTAAATTGCCTTGATTTGAAAACCAACCCACTCTAATCCCATTAAAGTTCACAGCCAGGACCCAAAATATATTAAACCCCCCTTGGGCACTTCCAGCAGGACTTTCACCATCTCCCCCACTCCCCTTTGACCATACCATATCAGAAAGTACCAATACTCTAATACATAATATTTTGTATAGCACTTTCAAGTGTTCAAAGGGTTTGGCATGCCTTATCCAACTGTAATAATTTCAACAAGCCTGTAAAATATTATTATCCCCCATATTGCAGATGGAGTGACTGAGAGAGAGTGGCAAAGGGCGCCTTGTGACTTCATGCTATAGGAAAGATTCAAAGATTCCCCCCACCTTCAAAAGTTTGCAATGCAGCATGACATTAGAGAAACACAAGGTCAAAAATCCTTTTGCAAACATAATACCTGTTACACAACGCTTTGGATCTCAGTTAACATATTTAAACCTGTAGATTGCATGAACTACTGAAGTATGCTAATTGTGATGAGCCCCCCAAAACTGTACATTTAAAAGGAGCAACAATTTGAAATATGCATTAAAGAAAAAAAACACTGGAGAGAGATTCAGAGTTCTTAATGTGTCCATAATTAATTCACACATTCAGCTGTGGAGTCCAGAAAATATGTTCCTGCTGATCATTTGCATGTAATACTTCAAAAACAAATCTGTTACACTTTTTATTTTTATCTGCCTTAATGCCTAAACGCTATTACAAAAGTTATTGCTTTCAAGCATCAGCCTCAACTGCTACCACATACAACTATTAGACTAAAGAGTTCTTCAGACATTTGACACAATCAGTGAATATCTCCAGGAAAATTAACTTATTTTAGCAAATGGCATCTTCTAAAATTGCAAGAAGCTGAAGTAACCAGGAACAATGGAAGGCTGTTTAATAAACAGTCAAGAAACCAAGGATAATGTTCACCAGCCAACACTGACTAACTATCCCAATTTTAGGATCCATTCC